GGAATGTTTTCAATTCGTTTTAAACCTCATTGAAAATTGATTCACTCGGTCAGCTAGTTTCTGTGGCACCCTGTCCTTTCGGGTCGCGGAGGCAGACGGGACAGACATTGTCTCCAACGTTCCCGATCCTCTGCCAGTGTTTCTGCCTCAACAGAAGATAATCCGACTCTGAAGCGGTGTGTGTCGAGATGCCTGCTCCAGGCCGTTCTTCGCCATCTCCGATGTTTCCGACCTTCCTGTCTGTTTGGCAATTAGTATTCGTTTCGCCTTTCTTTCCAGTAGCATTCGCAAGATGTGCTTCAACCGTCGCAGCTGTGACTTCTCAGTCTGGAGAGGCAGCTTCTGTACACAAGGGCTCTCTCGGGTATCCGTACTCGGGACCATGTCTAGACGCACGACCCCAGTGATTCGTCTCGAAGGCCCGTTTCAGCCGCCTGTACCACACATCGAAGTCTTTCACTTATGGCCAACGACAAGACGATAGATGAACGTAGGGGTGATGATCGACTGGAGCACCGATTGATTTTAACACTCAACTCTGCCTTAGGCACAACAGTTTGGGTTCTTAGTTCATGCGGAGCACAGCTGGCCATTCCAGTTCGCTTGTCGCTCTCTTTTCACTTTCACTTCATCTACTGAAAGACTGAATGTTCGTTACCCATTGTTCTTCAGGAGAATCTTCCTGCAGTTGCTTGGGGTCAAAGAGTTTCTGCCTCAAAGCACTCTCTTCATCACTGAATTATCTTTTTATTTTTGCCAAGAAGGCGTCCATGCTTGTCATCCAGGCTCTTATTCTTTTCCTCGGAGGCGGCGGATGGTCTTCCAGAATACCTTGTTTGATAGCCGGAAATCGAACTTCTTCCAAGAATCAGCTTCCACTTTGGCCACTACTTTCGCTGCCGCCTTGCGCGCTTATTCGCTTGCCGCATTTGAGTTGAAGGCTTTTTGCGTCCAGGTCACCTGTTGAATGCAGTCTTCTTCTCACTGATAGCTTCTTGACCTCTGGCGTCCAACAGGGAGTTTGTTTCTGATCCGCAGGCGGCAAGCCAGCCAATGTTAAGCCGCAGCTTTCGACGGCAACTTCGACCAGTTAGCCATTCTTAAAGAAGTTCCACTAGGTTTCCACTTCAGCAAAGAGAATGTTCTTTTTTTGTTCTGTTATCTTCAGCAGAGGCGAATGTTTCCCGTTTGATTCTCTGGTTGTTTCTGTCGTCAGTCTTCGTATGGCACACCAACAACTAGGTGGTGATCGGTTGACAGCTCTGCGTCTCTGTTAACGCGAACATCTATTACTGAGCGTCTTAAGTCAGACAATACGATTATCAAATCGATCATCGAACTCTGTGCACAAACTTCCCTGTACCAGGTATACTGATGCACATAGGATACAGTCCGTTGTTTGCACACAACCGCAACAACTTCATGCCGTTATTGTTGAGGTCATTAGGGCCGACCTATATCATAGTCGACAACCTGTACGGGGCATCTTTCTGGATTAAGGACTCACATTCTCCCTCCGAATTGAATGCATGAACCTCTAGCAAGGTCTTAAAACTGAAGGGGATTGCCATTCGTTCCCTGCCAGGCTTCGATTCAGTGATTCTGTCGGCTAGTTTCGGTTCTACCGGAGCTCCAACACCAGCTTGAGCGCGGGTCATGTATTCAAAACCTGAGTAGAATAACTTCTACCCTCAGAAGCTCAGAATTCCATATCCCTGACGCTTCGTTGACCAGAGTCTAACTATATCCTGACGGTATCTTGTGGCGTCATCAGTTAGCTCCTGCTCTTTCCCTTTGAGTGAGCAGATATTCCAATTTTAAAATGTGAGATTCCACTCTCTGTACCGTTGCCGTTCAATCTTATCTGATGTGCCACCGTGGCATCGCACCGTCTTCGGCCACCGTCGTTGCACTGTTCCCCAGCAGCTTGCACGAACCCTTGTAACGCGGGCGATGATCGAGCCCTCATAGCACTGGTAAATGGGAATGCCATGACGGCAGGTGACAAAGTTTCGCGGGAAACTTCACCACGATCCCAAACCCAGTGTCTCGCTCATCCGTAGCTGCCTTTAAAATCAGGCGCTCATGGCGGGGGTCATGGAAATGGACTTCAGTGCCTCACGATGAACTTCACCATAAGAAGGGTCGTGGA